AGCCTGCTACTTGACCAGAAGTGTGACTAGATCACTCAACTTCTTAAATGGCTTCTCTAGTTTGCTGTGCCTCATAAAAGTGACATGCTCTCTCATATTTTTTGGAGTGTTTGCTAAATCAGGTGGCGTTTAACGCTTCTGTTTTCCATCAATGTCCCTTTTTATTTTAAGTGAGGACTATTTTTTTTTTAGATTTGTTTAGAGGTGGCAACTACCATGTCAAGCCTGTGTACAAGTCATTTTGCTGAGATTTATTATTGAGGATACGTCGAGCATGTTTCTCTTTCACAGGTATCTCAGTGGAATTGATGGCTTTGCTGATGCTGCTGAGCTGAAAGAGAAGCAGAGAGAGGTTGTTAGAGCGTGAACGTCTTGATTCTCCACCCACACAAACATCAGTTCCATTTGCAGGACTTACAATAGACATAACAAACATAATGCATTGCATCTTAACTGGGAAGCAAAACAAATGATAACCAGTTGCACGACATTGACTGGAGTCAAAAGAACAGTGACTGCACTGTGGACACAGTAATGTACTGATGGATTTCTGGCTCTCCTCTTTTGATTAGACTAATTTCAACCCACCCCGCTGATTACAGTGAACTAAATTTAGCTCACAATTGGACAAAGGTCATCATAAAAGTGCATCAGTGTGACTGCACCTCATGAACTTTCCCTTCACTTTTAGTGTGATCTCATCTTTAGAAAGATAATCCACATTTAATGTTTCTGTGCCACCCAAGTGAGACAAAACCACTTAACTTTATTACTGCTTTTCTGTGGGAACGCAGATCAGAAGAGACCAACCCCACATGGAAAGATAATGTCTGCCATTGCCCCGCTGATGAGGCGCGTCAGAGAGTCATCAGATTTACGGGACACAAAGCGAGCTGATCTACAACCTGCTCAGCAGGTAAAGCGAGCACCGCTGACAAAGGAGCAGGAAGGGAAACGCGGAAACACACACGGGATTAATGTCCTCCTGAAGATTTAAGTATTTTAAATCACAGGGAGAACACACAACCACTCAGTGCCATCATCATCACCTCTGTGTCGACAGTGGTTTCCGGATCATTTTCATAGTTTTTGTGATAAAAATATTTCTCAATGGGCTTCATTTAAACATATTCTTATGCATTTTATTTTATTTTTCAGAATCCCATCTGGAAATAAATTTGCTCTCTTAAAGTGACATTTATTATGATCAAAGCCCTATTAAACAATTTCTTTCACGAGAGCTCAATCAAGGAAAAGACAGAGCTGCGTGCACAAGTTTACTTTTTCCCCTTCCCCCCCACAGTGTGAGACAACGTGTGCCCAGCTGCTGTTTCATGGTACATTGCCACTCACATAAAAGCATTTTTCCCCACACTATCCAGTTACTGAAATCAGCACAGAAAGCAGTGGTCAAGTCTTTGCAAAAGACCAAGTTATGTAAACAAAACAGGTACAAGCCCAGCCTGGATGAAACTCAATGTTGTGAACTATATGATTTCCAGAAAAACTTTTGTAAAAAACAAACAAAAACTGCAATCTGAATAGACGTTACAAATGTGTCTGTAGGTAGAGCACAAAAATGCTGTACAGCAGAGCCATGTAAAAGTAACATCTCTGATATAAATCACTGCTGATAAAGTCAAAGACTAGGATAGGCTCATCTCTAGATTTGTATGGAACGGTAAAAGGCCTAGAATAAAATACACAACATTACAACTATCTAGGAAGCAAGGTGGTGTGGGACTCCCTAATCTAAAAGATTACTACCATGCGGCCCAAACCAGACCAGCGATAAAGTGGTGTGATCAGAACTTTAATGCTAAATGGAAAGATATTGAAATAAAAGTACAGGATGTCCCAG